GGAAGGGACAGAGGAAAAAGAGACCCCGGGGGGTTGGATTTCCTTCCCCACCTGGCCTTCCCTGCTCTGCCACCGTAGCCAGTGCGAACACAGCTTTTTGTCTGTTTCATTCAAGAAGGATCCCCAGGCTCTTTAAAGGTTGTAGAGTACTGGGTTAAAATAGTACTCGAATGCTGAAAGCTGTTCAGTAGCTCCAAGTATATTTGAGAATTAAATATTTGGTTAATAGGAATGTGGGTGTTTTCTTGAGGTTTTTCACTTTGGAAAATATTAGTAATGTCTTTTCAGAGGCATAAAGGCAGGTTTGGGGCCTTTGCTATGATAAACAATCAAAATATAATAAAATTGATTCCTGTATGGTAACTGTGGAGATGCCAAAAGTTGGTGTGTCCCCCAGTCCCATTTTTTCCTATCAACAAGACTTAGTTCATCTAGAAACAACTTGATTCTCTCCTTGACCCATATAGAGCTACAACTATCCACTTAGCTAACAATTACACACCATGTTGTACAGATAACTTTGTTTTAAATTAATGTGTGCACTTACAAGTCTTAAGTCTAGTGCTTTATTTGACATCTACCCTAAGTGGAACTACTCTGTGCATCACTGAGGATAGATCTCCGATGCCTAAAAACTGTGTCTTCTATGGGTAAGGACTCCTGTGAAAATCAGAAGGACATGCATGTCAGGGAATAGCAGGCGTGGTCCAGAGCCAGTGTGTCTAACGCAGTTTTCCTCCTGCTCTGATCTCCAGAAGTCCTTTCCTAAAATAGCGTGATGATTTATCCTTGTGTAGATGCTACTCAGCTTGCAGCTACTTGTAAAAGAAGCATGTAGCATAAATATTGTGGTTTTATTCCTTGTCCTCTCCATGTCCTCCGCTGCCTGTTTGGCTTATACCTTTCAGAGAATAGGAGTTTCAGGTGAAATACTAGAACAAGATTTCCAGCATCATGAAAAAGAGGGCAGATCTTTGAAAGTCAGAAATGCTTTCTTTGTGTAGGAAACGAGCCTTTTCGAGATTATTTTTCATATGTATCCTGTAAAAGATAAACAAATTTTACTACTAATGTGATTTAGTCATAAGACTGGATGCTTCTATTTTTAACTATCCGGGTTCGATTCCAGTCAAAGGCATATGCTCAAGTTGCGGGCTTGATCCCCAGTAGGGGACTTGCAGGAGGCAGCCGATCAATGATTCTCTCTCATCATTGATGTTTCTATCTCTCTCTCCCTCTCCCTTCCTCTCTGAAATCAATAAAAATATATATATTTTAAAAATATGATTGCCCCTGTGTTTTTCAGCAAAATCATGTTTGTTTTGCAAATCGGGAGCGCATCGCAGACGGACAGCTGCAACAGTGACCTGAGCAGCCCCCACGCAGTGGACAAGGCCGTGCTGCTGCAGTACAGCGTCAACAACGGGATCACCTGGCACGTCATCGCGCAGCACCAGCCCAAGGATTTCACACAGGCTCAGAGGGTGTCTTACAACGTCCCCCTGTAAGTGGTCGGAATGGGGAGGCGTTGTCTCACACAAGATCCATGAGAATCAGAGTTTGAGCTAGAAATTTGAAGTTACTGGACCAACACCACCAAAATAGTGGTGGCAGAACCAAGACTAACCCAGATCTCCAAAGTTGTGTTACTGTTTCCTATGAGGATAACAGGTAGAAACTGAAGCAAGGCATCGGGCAAGAGGGACTAGAGCATAACAACCGTGCTTTTTTCATATTTTCCTTCCTCTAACCAGTATCTCTAGTCATGTCGAAAACGACATTTTTCATTTCTGCTGGGTACGCTTAATGTGAAATTTTCTAAAGATAGGCAACTATGTCACTTTTGCATAGCGTTTTGTCACCTGTGTACCCCTAGCTCCTAGCACAGTGCTCGTCACACCGAAGGCACATGATGTTTGTTGACTGAGTGGCTCTTCCCATTACTAGTGTAGGAAGGGGAATAAGGGGGAGAGGGGTACACGCATTACAAGTCCTTGAATAGCCAATAAAATTTAATGCTTCTCAGAAGCGTCCTGTGACCTAAGCAAATCTGAATCCATACCCAAAGTTTTGTTGATTTAGGTTAGCCTATTGTATGTCAAGTCTGGAGACCACACACCAGAGGTCTCTGTTTTCTCATGTTTAATCTCTTTGTCCATCTGTCTGTGATGCAGGGAGGCACGGATGAAAGGAGTTTTATTACGCTGGTGGCAACCACGCCACAACGGAACAGGTCACGATCAATGGGCTTTGGACCACGTGGAGGTTGTCCTGTGAGTATCTCATACGTAGCATCCCATGTTCATTTTAGAAAGGTTTGCATTCCTTTGATATGACATGCTTCTTAATTCAGTAAGAACTGTTCCTGAAGAGATCCCCTCAGGATTTTGGCTGACACTCTTCAGCAACTCAATCTATAACTTGAGTGGATGTGAAATAAGAAAGCCCCCAGTGTAACTGAATGTACCTTACAAAGCGCAATACGCAAAATGTTTAAGGATTTGACAATACTAGTTAAATTGGATCAAACAAAGTCTCCAGGTAAATGGGAAACAATGCCTTCGCCAGATCTGGATTGCCTTAGAAAATGGAATGACGTCCTGGAAGGGAAATGATATGTACTGGTTAATCTGCAGCGTATTACTAGTTCATGTGCCCAGTTACAAACACCTTCTCAGCGACAGATGCCTGAGGCTGTCTTCCATTTAATGACATGGTTGCAACTAGAACAAAGAATTTGAGGTTTCAAATTCCTCCTGACCAGCCCCAGCACCTAACAAGGGGAGGGTGTTCCCCTCTGGTCTCCCCCCGGTAGTAAGGTTGGCACCACTGTCACCGGCCGCGCTGACTGTTGCACAGAGAGATGACTTGCTTTTTCTCTAACAATCTAGTCCCTGTAGAACTGGAATGCTTATGTCTCGACGGGTTCGGACTGATGGCTCCAAGTGGTTGGCAAGGAGAGGCGAATCTTCTCGGTAGATAGGTTCAAATGTTCATTCTGTTTACCAAATCAATAACGAAATCAGCCCCTTGGCTGATTTCAGTCATTTTGAAAGCAAATTTGTATAATTAATTGGTAGGAAAACTACCAGATTTGTTTTCTTTCAATCATAGCCATGAGCTGAATTTCTCAGTCTTGAGTTAGCCTTTGTCTTAGTTTTCACTGAGGCACCTGCTTGCATGGCATCCATATCAACCCCCCAACCCAAGAGCAACCTGGTCCCTACACAAGCCCCCACTGTGCGCTCTGCTGCTTTGGACAACTTGCTGGGCTCTGCCTCCACAAGACAAAGTTGAAGTTTCAAACAACCGTCCAGACTTCTTTGAATCTATATATGAGGCTGATGTCTTACTTAGATACTAATTTCCTCAGACTGCATTAATCCAGGAGAATAGAATAACCTGCTTTCTAAAATGAATGCATACATGGTAAGGCCAGAGAGCGACGTCCAAATAGACCAAAAATCATCCCTAGAGCCATTCTGCCCTGCCTACATTTTTCAGAGCAGCGCTTCTCAATCTGATTAAACATCAGAATCCCTTAGGGCAGCGATGGCGAACCTTTTGAGCTCGGCGTGTCAGCATTTTGAAAAACCCTAACTTAACTCTGGTGCCGTGTCACATGTAGAAATTTTTTGATATTTGCAACCATAGTAAAACAAAGACGTATATTTTGATATTTATTTTATATATTTAAATGCCATTTAACAAAGAAAAAAAATCAACCAAAAAAATGAGTTCGCATGTCACCTCTGACACGCGTGTCATAGGTTCGCCATCACTGCCTTAGGGCTTGGGCAATGTCCCAATGCCCAGGCCCATCTCTACGGATGATTTGATTTCAGTTGATCTGCAGTGGGACCTGAGTATTAGTCTTTTTTAAAAGCACCTCAGGTGATTCTAATAAACTGGTTGAGAATCAAATTTAGAGTCAATAACCACTTTAATATCTCTCAAGTCTCTTGCCAAGACAGTTTACGTTAATGGGGCTTCCTGTGTCTGACAAAGCATTGCCAACTCCTATGGAAACTTCAAAACGTGACAGTCCTGAGAAGAAGGCAGGATGCTAACTACTGCCCTTAGCGAGGCATAACAATTCTTAATTGGAGTAGATATTTCTTCACCTGCCCCCCAGCCAAGCAATTGCGGTTATCTGTCTTGGATTTCAGAGGTGTATCATCACCATGAGTCCCTCCCTTGGACTACAGTTAAAGAGCACATGGGGTCAAAAGTGCAAATATACTCCCTGGTAGGAAATAACCCTTCACCGCTTGGAGGCAGAACTCTGTTCTCTTCTTCCTGTGGACCTGCTGCCCCAGTGGCCCTCAGAACTCCAGCATCACCACACAACTCCCAAGGAAATCGGGAATACCTGGTGTTGGTACTAAGTTTTATAAGCCGCTACCAACATCATGATATTATTACAAGAATCAAGTTCAGATGGTATGAAATCTATCACATTGATCACATCTATTGTTTCTGGAGCAATAATCGGTATTTGTAAAGACTTCACTTACTAGTACATTCCAGTTCCAGAATTTTAATACTTTGAAGAATGTATAACTCACCAGGCACCTCTCTGCTCTTATTCTGCATTATTGTCTCAAACTCCCAGGGCACTAGCACATTTCAGTGATAAAAGAGTATTGCCACACATACACTGTTGCATCATTTGAGTTTTATTCTGCATCTTCTTTCGAGAATAATTAAATAGTATAACTTTATACACATCACCATATCACTTCATTTATATATTACATATATAGTTTTAAAAGCAAATGCTATCTCTTTAATGAGGATTCAGAAATTTGTTAACATTAAAGGACTTTATTTTTTTTCCTTTTTTGGAGAGACATACGTCATGACGTTGAGTTCAATAAATGAGTTGTTTAAAAAATGCAATACAGAGGATATATATTTTCAGAAATATGTCTTTGAGGTTTTGCTCTTGCCTTGGGAGTCAACATTTTTATGCCACTGTATCCTTTCAAAGTATTTCTTTTCAGAAGCATCATGAAACGTTTTAAAAAGTACTCACTAGTTAATATGCCCTTAGCAGCTATAATTCACTGATTTTATAAGCTTAACATAGGAAGTTCCAGAGAATTCAAAAAAAACGTAATATAATAAACTTCCAGAATCTTTCAACCAAATGAGGCACAAAGAAGCTAGCAAGCTCATGTCATGATTGACAAATACTACTAATTTTAACTTTGCTACCACAGATGTATATTTAGAAATAGAAAGAAGGAATACACCAAGAATTCCTATCAATTCAAAATAGTCTCTCCATTGCCCTAGCCAGTTTTCTCAGTGGTTAAAGCACCCACCTGCAGACTGAAAGGTCCCAGGTTCAATTCCAGTCAAGGGCATATGCCCATGTTCCGGGCTCAATCCCCAGTAGGGGACATGCAGGGGGCAGCCAATCAATGATTATCTCATCATTGATGTTTCTCTCTCTCTCCCCCTCTCCCTTCCTCTCTGAAATCAATAAAAAATGTATTTAAAAAATATATATATATTTATTTATATATATATTCTCTCTATTCACTATACCTTTATATAATAACTTTTAGCTCTATAAATTAGTAATATTAACTCATCAGGTGTGGAGCGGGGAGGAGACTGAGGTCCATATCTAAAGAGATACAAGCCCTACCTAATGAGACACACTAATATGAATTTGTGACTAGGGATTGGGGGGAGGGGTTACACTTTTTAAATGTATTTCCTTTTCTGAGTGAAGACTGGCCTTAGTCTAGCTTTATTACCATAGTTTTCACTTTTGTGCATGTGCACCAAAGTACACATGCTAAAAATCCTTAGAAAGAAAAATTGGTCATGCATGGTATCTTGAATTTAACCTCAGTACTGCCCATATTAACCAAGAAGACATATGAATTTGATGAGAACAAATTTAGCACTTTTGAAAGTATTTCAAGGTTTAGGAATTCATCCTAAATGAACAAGATATATAATATGTTTTTAATTTAATGTCTTACTTTTAAAATACTCCCTGTGGAAGGATTTGAGTTTCATAAATATGAATCTACAGAATGACAAGCCCCCACCCCCACCCGCCATAAAGATAAAAACTGCCATTTAGCATTTAACAAGCAAAGTCATTTATGCCTGATGCTTGTTTGAGAGAGTAATCTTCCACTCTGATGTTTTTCAATAAAACCTGCCCTTGAAAAGCACTTCACTAATCTGCCATGGAACAGATGAACCAAACTGACAGGCCACTTTTTTCCAGCCTCACTAGCTTACAAAAAGTCCTCATTCTGTTACATCTGAATGATGTAGCATAACACAATCATTGACAATCAAGTGTCAGAAACCTAATTTCTCCGAATTCATTTGCTAGTGTAGAACATTTGTTTTCCAGTAAATGTTTGTGAATACATTTGGGCAGATCCCTCACAAGATCCATGCTGGTGGGATTCTTCTTAGGATAAAAGTGAACTCTTTGTCTTAATGTTTTTGTTGGGCACTCATACTTCTATCCTAAGAATCTCCCTCACTAAACTATGCATTTCATCCACACATCACATTTCCTGTGTACGTGTCTAAGTCACCAGCTGTCATGTGCATAATGGAGTGGGCCAATTTTTGCATGTGTATCTTGAAAGTAAATTACTCAGTAAAGAGTTAGCCTGTGTGAATTGATTTATGAAAAAATAAATTATTACCACATTTACTGAAAATTGAAAACCAATATGTTGCTAACTATGATCTTAAATGCATTTATCAGATTTTAATAATATGTGTTCCATCATGACCATCCCTTTATGCTCTTCATTATCAAGATACTGTCATATTTTTGGCACAAATGATTTATGGAGATGAGCATATTACATTTGTTGCAAAGCATATTTATCCTTTATTAAATTTGATTGTTATCTGATATAGAGGACTTTGTATTTTTAAAAGCCCATTCCTTAATATATTCAGAAATAAGTATTTCCTAAAAATATAATTTAAAACAGAAAATAAAACTAATGGGGGCTATTAAACCAGTACTTTTATATTTATACTTTATATGCAACATTTATGCCAAATGTAGTACTATAGCTACATGTACCTTGACATATGGTTATGAGCAAATATTGCATGTTGCATTACATAGAAAAGTTAAATATATGTATATGTTAGATATAGAAGAATAAGGAATAACATCTTTAATTTTTATTTTCAAAAGAGATGAAAAATCCTATATTGCGTCTAAACCTGATCAGACTTTTATGACTAATCACAGTGCTGCATGCATTGAAAGGCATTTTTTAACTTGTGTTATATTTCATTATTTGCTGTCATTGGTTTTCCACTAGAGTAAGGTAAGTCCTGTTACTAATTCTGGGGTACTGTTTACTAATAGTTTCATCACTGTGCCTACATGAACTGAGAAGTTTTGTTGCAGACCTACGCAGTTGAAATATATATATATATGAAAACAAAGTTACATGTGATATTGAGACATACAGGAATTTTTGCAACCTATATCATGTAAACTCAGAGTTCAGTTGAATTGTGATTATTCTCAAACGTAAATGATATTGGGCACAATCAGCATTCCTTCATCAGGAAACAACTTGACTCTGAGCCTGGGACTGTATCAGGTGCTCTTGAAGTGCTCACAGTTCATACATTCATTACGAGGGGAAAGTGAAAACAAAAATGTGAGCAAAAGAGCTAGGAGTCTGATTAAACGCAATGTCTTGTAGAAGATCAGTTGTGCTGCAGATGTGTGAGGATGCCTTACTGCTCCATTCTAATCTAAGTTAATACATGAATTGGCAGAAGGGGATGGATTTATTCATAATATTTGTGAGTTCTAGATTTTATCCTTAGGTAAGATTGGCCCTCTTTAACATATATTTACATTTGTTCCCTAATGGAGATACTTAGGAAAGAAGGTAAAATGTTTATCATTTATTAAACATTTGCAGATTATGCTCCAAGTTTTCATTTAAGCCTTACAACTCCCTGAGGTACCCATTAACAAATGTTATTTAATGTATCAGAGAAAGTAAATATGAAATCTTCAACTTTTGTGAGCTATGTGAGCCTACACTTATTTACACGTAGCCCCCACCCCCACCCCCCGAAAATGCATGGCCTTGAAAGTAAAACGTTCAGCATCCTCTCTGCAGGGGAGTTTCGCTGATTGGCTTAAACAGCCGTGTTCCATCTTACGGTCACCAGTGTTTCTCCGAAAGATATGGCAGTCCACTGGGTTCTTATTTCTGCATTTATATAAAGCATTATTTATTATATCATATGTTTTGGTGATAAATGAATTCATTACTGATCAATAAAAGTACCTAAATGATCTATGAGCTCAAATTATGTCTCCCAAGACTCTGTCTTCTCCATTTCCTTTAAAATCTATCAAAAATCAATTGAATTTTTTCATAATAATAAATGACCTAAGATAGTAACAGTTCAAAAGAACAGAGTCACCAGTTCTTGAAAGATCTTGCAATATCCACACTTCCTATGCAGAAATAGGGAAGCATTTAATAATCTCATATGCCATCTAAGTCCCTAAACTCCCTAAACAGAATTGGAAATTTTAAGTTTGCATTTCCAAGAAGTCATTGGTGTTCATTTTCCCTTCTTTTAATGACTTAGTCACAATGGAAGAATTTTAAAACAGACCTAGTTCATCCGCAGCCAAAGCAAATTATTGTCAAGTAGCACAGTTCATATGAACAATATCTGCTTTCATTGGACATGTAATAAAAATTACTTTCCCTATAATTGCAGTGACAAAGTAAATCTTTAAAATTCTATCACACCTATTATTATTTTGGTTACAGGTTACCTACAGCGATACGTCTCTGTGTATCAAAAACAAAAATAGGCTCACAGATCTGCTCCACACAAAAAGTAAACATGAACTCTTTGAACTTAAAATTTCCCTACTGCCCAATCCTGTAAGTTAGACAGTTCAGAGGCCCCAGTAACTGTTCAATAACCATGTCAGTTTATGAAGTGGTTCTAGAGGCAGACAGCATTTTGGCATAGCTTGCCAAGGTGCTTGATTTTAAAAAGCTTATATACTGAAAAATCTGCTTCATTAGATTGCAACCTAACTTACTCCAAAGATGTTTATGTTTTACAGGCAAAATTACTAGTCAGTTTCGAGGATGCTTTGCAAATGTGGCCCTTTTTAATGTGACTATATAAACACCCGGCATCTATAGCAAGTGCTGTGTGTGTGTCAACATTTGCAAGGATCCAAAGATATGCTACTGATATATAAATTTATTTGAAATTCATAAGTATCCAGTAAATCAAAATGCCCCTGGATTAGATATAAGCTTCCACACTGGGCTGATAGTAAAAGTATTAAAGATCTAAAACCTGTTAATATTTATTTTCTCACATATAAAGATGAAGAATTTAAGTCAGTCCTTAATATATAGTGATATGGAGAAGTTGCTCTAAAGCCATTAAACATGCACGGCAATTTTTGTTTAAATGTTTCTTTGTTCCATTGAGATAAGTAAACATCTTGAGTGTTCTGAGTTTATCCTTTTTTTCATGTAAAATATTTTAACTATTTTATAATCTCTTTGAGTACCTTATATCTTCAAACATGCTTTCAACAGAATAATTTTCATTGCTTTAACTTTGCAGTTATTCCTTATAGTTAAAGAGTAATGATTTACAACAGGAATCCAATCTGTAAGTCATCAAAAGTTCAACAAACATGCCTTAGCCATGCCGTTGGTGAGGCAGGAGGCTCAGGCTGTGGTGTGGGGGTGGGGGAACTGGAGGGATAGGCTGCCACAAGAGTTTAGTCATGGGGAGCCTAATTCTCTCCATTCAAAGCAGAAAATAAGCATGAGGAGCATTCAGATAGAGGAGGGGGGAATCACTTCTGGAGGGGGTGAGCAATTAGTAAAATGCAATACTTGACAAATAAGTAGAAACTTAGGAAGCAATGCTGAGGATGGGCAGATGATGCAGATGGAAAAAGGTCAAGGTGAGTTTGGATAGAGCAGTCTGAAGAGGGATGTAGCATAGTAGAAGAAAGGCTTGAAAAACAGAATAAGATTAAATGTGTAGAAGACTTGAAATATCTGGCTACATTGACTTCGATGTTGCTCCATAGACAAGAGGATGGCGAATGCCTTTTTAACAAGGTAAAACCAGGATCTGAGGGGAAGTTGACTGAAACGCGTGTGCAAAGCCCACGGCATGAATTTGCAATTACAACCTAGTCACACATGTCCGAAGTACAGCATAGGGAAGAGAGTCAGTAATATTGTAACAACTCTGTATGGTGCCAGGTGGGTACTAGGCTTACCAGGAGGATTGCCTCATAAGTTATGTAAATGTCTAACCACTATTCTGTACACCTGAAACTAATATAATAGTGAATATCAACTGTAACTGGAAATTTTTTTAATTTTTAAAAGAAAAAGGCATTCGGGAGGTCGGGCCAAGCAGCATTTCAGCATTCCGGAAAGATTGGACCAACAGGCACCTGCTCCCAGGCTCCCTAGCAAACTTTGCATTATTGCAAATCATTAAAACATTTGCCAATCCAAAATAAAATCCACTGTATGTGTGGGGAGGGAGATACATGCACATGTACATACAATTACACATTCAGTGATGCTTTCTTAGTATTTCATGGTTTCTTTTCAGTGGTGTTTCATAAGGGGGGACAATGAGGAGACCAGTTCAAACCACTGTCATAGCTCAGGGAAAGGGCCCCATGTGGCCTCCAGTACTGGCAGGAGGACAGCTAGTGCCAGTCCCAATATTTTGTGCCTAAAGAGGTAACAGGATTCTTTCTCATGACACCTGACTAGTTCAGTGCATTAGGTCATTCCCCTTTTTACATAGGAAGCACTTAGTAGGTAATGGTCCTTTTAAAAAATATATTTTCCATACCAAAACAGCTGTCTCTACCAGTTTTGCACAATTCTCTGCAGACTCCTAAAACCCATTTTCAGTATTTTTACCAGCTTCACACCTAATATGTATGAATGTGAGTATGTACATACATAGGGGAAATATATACATGCAAATATGATTATACATTTAACTAGAGGCCCAGTGCACAAAATTTGTGCACTGGAGGGGTGGGGTGTCCCTCAGCCCAACCTGCACCCTCTCCAATCTGGGACCCCTTGGAGGATGTACAACTGC